ACACATGCATATAATATAATATTTAATTAATGATATTAATTAATAATATGCTAATTATGATTTCCCTTCAAAGAAAGCAAGCTTTTTGCGGGTAGGGACAGCTTCATTTTTGTTTTAGCACCTAATAATGCCTGGCACACAAAATGTTCACTAAAACATCTGTTTTATATAATGAGGAGGAGGAAGAGGAAAACAATAAAAACTTACACCTGCATTAAGACTTTTGGGACACCTTGTATATTGCTTCAAAGTTTATGAAGTACTGTACGTATGTATTTTATGCCCTCCCAACAACTCTGGGGGGTGGCTACTATTATCACCCCCATTTTACAGGTGACAAAACTGAGGCCCAGAGAGGCAAAGTGATTTACCTACAGTCACATAGCCCATGATAGTCTGAGGCAAGACTCAAGCTCATCTTCCTTACTCCAAGCCCAGAGTTCTATCCACTTCACTACCTGGCTGCCTCTGTTAATCAATCAATCAAGAGAAATTTATTAAGAATCAACTAAATGTCATAGACTGCTCTAGGCAATAGGGAGTCAGAGACCAAAATGGAGCAGTAGCTTACATCAAAGTGCTTCCATGATGTGTGATTTCCACAGTGTGAACTCTCTCTTTATCTTTGTGGAACTTACAGCCTGTGAACTTGTGCCTGCAGTTCAGAAAGATTAAGAGATTATATAGAGGTATGTGCGTATATACACACATATAATGTATATTATATATAGCATACTGTATATTATGTATATACTATATATAGTATTATATATATATATAGTGCATATAACACACACACACACACACACACACACATGAAAGACTCATACTCCAAGGCATATGTGGGATGGAAGTGGGAAAATAGAGAGACTGGTGATTTTTAAAGTACTAGGGAAAGTCTTCGTGCCTTTTGAATACCAGCCTAAGGACATCCAGGCAGAGCCATGGAATGGTAGGGCTGGAAAAACTCACACAGGCATCAAATTCAGCCTACAGCTCTTTGCAGCTACCCTGGCAAGTGGGCTACCAGCCTTTGTGGGAAGATGGATGGCTCAGTGGGAAAAGCAACAGCCCTAGAGTCAGATGGCCTGGATTCAAATCCAGTTTATGAGGCTTACTATCTCTGTGTGTGTATAAATTTGAGATGTTTATTGAATGACTGAGTTTCTTCATCGGTAAAATGATGGGGTGGATTCCAGTAGAAGTCTCCTGAGGTCCCTTCCAGCTCAAAACCTTTGATCCTCTGCCTTCCCCCCAAACCCCATGACACTTTGAGCTAGCTCTAATAGTCAGGAAGCTCCTCTTTCTGGCAAGCAGACATTTCCCAATGTGCTTCTTTGCACCTTGCAACTACTGTTCCTAGTTCTCTGCTCCACAACCCATCAGGAAGAAAGGAAAGCAGGAGGAAAACAAACATTTGTTAAGCACCTACTACTGTGCCAGGCCCTATGCTAAGTCCTTTTTACAAGCATCCTCTCCATTGACACTCACAACAATCCTGAGAGATAAATACTCTTGTTACCGTTCTCATTTCACAACTGAGGAAACTGAGGTAGACGGAGGTTAAATGACTTGCCTAGATTGAGACCATTTGTAAGTATCTGAACTCAAACCTTTCACTACCCAGCTCTCTATCCATTGTACCACCTAACTGCCTCTAAAATGATGCTCATTTTCAACCATCCTTTAAATACTTGAAGACAGATTTCACCTACTCCTGAAATCTTCTCTTGGTCCAACATAAGATCATTGATCTAAAGCTGAAAGGAACCTTAGAGGTCATCAAGTCTAAACTCCTCATTTTACAGATGAGGAAACTGAGGCCCAGAAAGGCTGTGATCTACCCAAAGTTATTTATGTGCCAAAGCTGACATTTGAATCCAGGCCTCAACTCCAAACATATTTTCTTTTCACTGAAGCTCACTGACTTGCCAAGTTCCTCATGAATCCCTACATGACTTCAACTCAAGGCCCTTTGTCATCCTAGCTGCCTTCCTCTGGATTTTCCCCAGCTCATCCATGTCCCTCCTAAAAGGACAGTCAGCAAATAAGTATGAACTAAAGCAAAAGGAAGAATATTTAAAGAAGGAAAATGGATCAGCTTTGATTGTCAGTAGGACAGAGTTAGAGGTGTTCCTGGAATGCAAAGATCTGTCCAAGGTGCTCGCTAGCTGGCTGCCTCTTTAAGGTCACAGAGAGAATGTAGAGAAATTTGAGAGATCAAGAGGCTGGGAGAGAAAAGGATTTGGATGGGGGCTTTACACAATGTCCTGTATGTGCATTCTTTTCAAAAATAACTAAGCCTCCCTGGTTTTGAAGAATAAGTTAATCAAACATCAAAAAAAAAAATCACCCAAAAGTCAAGGTCTTCTCTTGCAGCTTCCTGGGGAATTGCTGGCACCTCTGCCTATTATGATAGGTCATCTCACCCTTGTTATTAAATGATGGCAATCATTAAAATGCCAAACGTACTTTGACAGAATTCACTTTATAAAATGTCAGCAAGTCTGTGTTTTTATTAGTTTGTTCCAAATCAATTTAGGAATTTCAATAGAATGCTTGTAAGTATTCCCTGAGCAATGTCCATTTCTGACTTTCAGCACCAAGAAATATTACAAATTAATCAGATTTCCAGGTTTCTGCATAATGGCCTGGCTCACTGATTGCGTAATCTCATTATCCAATGTGGTTATGATTGACACATTGCAGTGGAGATAGAAGTCAATTGAATAATGTGTAGCACTCAATTTTATTTGTAGTTTAATGTGCTTCGGTATTTTTTGCCGCATTTCCATTATTTATAAGTCTGTCCCTTTAGAGAATATAGAGAAGAATTTGTTTTAAATGAGCTGATAATACCTTCTTTAAAATTTATAAGTATGACAGAATCCTGCCCCCCCCTTTTTCTTGGCAGTTCACGGTGTGCCAATAAACAGGTTTTGAATTGTCTTCTACTTGCTATTCCTAGGACAAACAGTGGAAGAGAAGGGCTTATTCAGGTCTACATAGAATTGGACTGCAACCACCCATCAGAAAATGTCAATAGAAGTCACAAAATTGATCTTTCCTTTCTTGTTTCCTTCCTTCTTTCTTCTCTTTCTTTCTTCATTCTTTCCTTCCTTCCTCTTCTTTTTTCTTCTTTCCTTACTTCTTTATGTCCTTCCTTCCATCCTTGTTTTTTTCCTTCTGTCCTTCCTTCCTTCCTTCTTTCTTTCCTTTCTTCTTTCCTTCCTTCTTTCTCATAGGGCAGAGTAGAGTAAATCCCCTCTACCCCTACAGATAAGAAATTGTTCTACAATTAGGTCTCTGAGAGGTTAAGAGGCTTGCCCAGGATAACACAGCCAGTACGTGTCCAAAGCAGGACATTTAGACTCCACAACTGGTTCTCTATCCACCATCCACATTACTGCTCCTTCCTTCCCTTAATCCTTACTAGGAATTGTCCAGACATAAAACACACAGTTGGGAAAGACTTGGCCAGATTGCTATCATCTTCTTTGGCAAGACTTTGGTCCAGGTGCCAATACAATCCAAAAATCTTTACAAACCCCTTTTATAAAACAAACACTTTGAGCATTTTCTCCAGATGTCCCCCATGCCTGGAACTCCCTCCCTCCACATTTATACCTCTCAGCCTCCCTGGCTTCCTTTATGTCTCATTTAAATCTTCCTTGATCCCCCTTAATTCCAGTGCCTTACGGATGTGGATTATCTCCAATTTACCCTGGCTCTATCTTGTTTATACAGAGGTGGTTGCAGGCTGTCTCCTCCATTAGACTGTGAACTCTTTAGAGCAGAGACTTTTTTTCCACCTTTCTTTGTATCCTCAGCTCTAAACGTAATATCTGGCACATAGTAGTCATTTAATATATACTAGTTGGCTGATTGGCTGATGGTGCTAAATACTAAAGATGCAAAAATAAAAACCCCAAAATCCCTGCCCTCCTTTTAAATTTTGCCTTAGATGCTTATGATCTGTGTGGCCCTAGGCAAGATACTTAACCTCTCTGGGTCTCATTTTCTTCATCTGTAAAATGAGGTGGTTGGATGTGATAACTTACCTGCAAGGTGCCTTCTGAGTCTAGAACTAAGTTCCTATGCAATCACCCCACCCCTACACCCCCACCCCACCCCATCTCCACCACAGATGCCTAGATCCAGGAGTCTGCCTCTGTGATAGATACATCATGCGAATGAATAAGTTAATGCAATGTAAAGGCAAAGTTTATACAAAGGTATGCTTCATTTGCTGAAGAAGTTGCTGCTGATCATAGGCAGTTGAGGAGTGGCCTTGTGTGGGAGGCGGAGCCTGGATTGTACTTTAAATAAAAGTGGGGACACCCAGAGCTAAAAGTGAGACCCGAGAGTCAGTCTGTGCCCAGGATGGCAGGGCTGAGGTGACACTTTGGGTTCCAGCTTGATTGTTTCTATTAGCACTCAAGAATCCTTTTCTCTGCTTCTGTTTAAAGAATTGTTTGCAGTGACATTTAGCAAAGGTTTTGTTTTTGAAGAACTTGTACATAGTAATGAATTAAAATCTAAGTGTGGATTGTGTAGGAGGCAGGTGTGGGGAGAGGCCTGGGGAACGCTTGATTAAAGAGAGACACAGGAGATGTGACTTGTTCACATCTCCAATAATTTTTTGGCTTTGAGGAATTAGAAATGCTGCTGCTCATCACAGCTGAAGAAACGCAGCTCCCACCTGGGAAGGGAGCGCTTGTGCTCCGCGTAAAATGATGTCTAATATAAACCACATTAGGCAGGCTGACGAGGGCTGCGGTATCCCTGCTGTCAGCTCACGGAGCCTCCTGAATGAGTTGGCCAACCTGCATGGGGGTGAGCAGAACTGATGCCGCTGAGGATGACTGGAGTCCTGAAGCGATTGATAAGCCCCCTTTGGCCCATCGTATTGGACTCTGGGTCTTGTGACATCACAGTAAGGGGGAAATGGTGAGTTTCTAGCCTGGATATTAAGGGAAGGCTTCTCTTTTGATTGCCAGGGGCCAGAGGAAACCCACCACCCGCTGACACAAGTGCTGCTGATCAACACCCATCTGCCCAGGCCCACCCAGCAGCCTTTCCTGTTGGGCCCCAGGTCAGTGTCTTTCCCATGCTTTGGGGGCGGGGAGGGGCTATCTAGCAAGACTAAATATGTCAACAAATAGTAATGAGTGAAAACCAATTAACTCCAGTGGAGCAAAGTTGGTGATGAATTATTGTTTGGGAAGCTGCAGAGAGCCTCATTATTTATTAAGGGGATGAAGAAGGGATGTGCTCTCTTTTAAGAAATATGCTCCTCAGGATGATGTGAGGCCCTCTGTATTTGTTTTCTTCGGGCCTTTACGGCTTTCCAGAGAGTAGAACTTTAATGGCCTGGGTGTGCATACAATTGAGTTGTTTCAATGTTCCCAGGGCCGTTTTTGAAATATGACATGATTTAATAGAAAAAGTTAATGCAATTTTAATGCAAGTGCAGCTTATTGGGTTTGACAATACTGTACATCATATGCAGCTCCTGCATTAATAAAGAAATGTAGTCATGATTTTTTAAAGCCCAATATTTAGGGGGAGGGCAATGGGTTTTTGGTTTGGCTTTCTTTTTTGCTTGTTTGTTTGTTTGTTTGTTTTGTCTTATTTGCAGTCTGGTGGGGATAACACAATTATAAAAGGCTAGACTCTTCTCCCTTGTCATTTGATTCAGGGCTTTCAGTGCTCACCTCACACTCTTGCAAAGGGGAAAAGGTACTTCCACTCTGTAGCAATATCATTGAGTTTCCCTTTTACTAGCATTATTGTTCCTAGAAATTAGTCATCTGACATATACTGGGAGGTCACCAATTCAAGGATTGAAAAATCCTCAGGTTTATGATTGAGTTGGCCTGGGCTGGGCTGTACCCATCATTACAAAACCTTGTTTGTAGCATCTCCTTCTGTGACATGGCTCTTGGCTTACTGGGGTCTTCAGAGCCCATGCATTTTAAAGGTTAGGGAAGAACCCCATTCATTTTCAATCGTACAGATGCAACCTGAGTTTGAAGGTACAGGACCAGTCTCCCCAACCTCCGGATCATAGAATCATCAATGTTGAGGGAGGCTGAGCTTTAGAGACCATCCAATACCTTCAATTTACAAGTGAGGAGCCAGAGACTCCTTCACAGAGGGAAAGGTGCTACCTGTGGTCACATAGGTAGTAAGTAGCAGAATCAGCTTTTAGCCCAGGTCTTTCCATGCCAAATCCAACATGTGCGTCATTGTTTCCAACTCTAACCCTGCCACGTGACTCGCCACTGAATTGTGCCACATTTGTGGCACTGCATGACACAGTCACAAAAACAGGGGTCGAGTGTCCAAAGACTCCTCCAGCCAGGTCCTGCCTTAGAAGACAGCTTTTTTTCTTTTATTTTGATCTGAACTTGTGTTCTATGAACCCAGTAGCATTTACATAACATCTACTTGACAACTAATACCATGTAGGGGTGGCAGACATTCCATCTTCAGACAGCATGGCTTCATAGCACCCTTGCAATACTTTTAGACCCCCCATTGGATTGGCAGCCCACACATTGGGAACTCCTGGTCTAGACCACATTTCTTTACCCACTCCAGAAAGATAACGTGAGAGACTTGATTAAAGTCCAGGTAAATCACATCAATAGCATTCCCCAGAACAAAAGCAGCTAGGTGGTACAATTGATAGAGTGCTGGAGCTAGTGTCAGGAATACCTGAGTTCAAATGTAGCCGTAGATGCTCACTTAGCAATGTGGCCCTTGGGCAAATCATTTAGTCTCTATATAGTTTCCTCATCCATAAAAATAGGATAGGGCAGCTAGGTGGCACAGTAGGTAGAGCACCTGGCCTAGAGTCAGGAAAACCTAAGTTCAAATGTGACTTCAGACACTTACTGGTTATGTGATCCTGGGCAAGTCCTTAACCTTGTTTGACTCAGTTTCCTCATCTATAAAATGAGCTTGAGAAGGACATTGCAAACCATTCCAACATCTTTGCCAAGACAACCACAAATGGGGTCATAAAGAGTCAGGCACGACAGAACCGAAAAGACTGAACAACAGCAACAAAAAATAGGGTAATAAAAGCACTGACCTTGCAGGGTTGTTGTAAGGATTGAATGAGATAATATTTGCAAACCATAAAGTGCCATATAAATGCTAGCTATTGTTATTATTATTATTATTATTATTATTATTATTAGTTTCCTGCAGCTAGGTGCCTCAGTGGATAGAGTGCCTGACCTGAAGTCAGGAAGACCCATCTTTCTTCAGATACTTACTAGCTGTGTGACCCTGGGCAAGTCACTTTACCCTATTTCCTCAGTTTCCTCATCTATAAAATGAGCTGGAGAGGGAAATGCCAAATCATTTTAATATCTCTGCCAAGAAGACCCCCAAAAGGGGTTAGAAAGAGTCAGGCATGACTGAAAAACAGCTGAACAACAACAACAGGTTAATCTAACATGAATTGTTCTTTCTTTTTCTTCAATGAACAAGCATTTATTATTACCCCTTCCCACCACTCCCAATTGAGGGAAAAAAGAGAAAGAAAAACAAAACCCTTACAACAAATATGTATACTAACACAAAACAAATGCCCCACATTGACCATGTGCTAAAGCGTATGTCTTCATCTGCTTCTTGGAGCTACAATGGTTCCTTGTGATCACTGCCTCCCTTCCTGTATGTTCACTTACCAGCCCTTTGTTAATATATTTTAGAATTTTTTGAGTAGGTATGCTCAAACAACCTCATTCTTGCCTAGCCTTAAATCACTGAATGGGTGTTGCCTCAAACAAACTAAGTCCTGGAAAAGACCTTAGCTTTAAAAGGCCAAGGTCTCCCACTGTATCTGGGGCCATTTCCAGTCATCCTGATCTCTGCCTTGCCACTGAACTCAGATGACTCAAGGAGAGAGTGAGGCTGATGCTTTGCACAGCCCTGCCTCACTTAAATACAACTCATTTGCAAGTGAAGACATCACCCTCTTGATATCACTGGTCCTCTTTGAGAAAAGGAGAAACAACAACAACAACTATTAGAATTTCACTAGGAATCAAAGGTAAGCTTACTGGCCAGGCATTTGCTTACTCTACTCTCTTCCTGACCTCCCTGCCCAAACCCAGCTTCCTTTCTCTTTACATTCATTTATGACTTAAGGAAATTAGTTTTATGCCTCCTGTTTGCATTTCTCCTTTGTATTCCATTAAATGAGGAATAATACCTTTTTATAATAATGCCTTCCTATAGGGAGAGAATGTAAGTATCAGTCATGTCATTCAAATATGTAGGTAGGCAGTATAATAATAGCTAGAATTATATAGCACTTTAAGGTTTGAAAGTTCTTGACGTATGCTATCTCATTTGAGCCTCACAACATCCTTGTCAGGTTGGTGGTATTATTATCCTGCTTTTATGCTTGAGGAAACTAAGGTCGAGAAATTTGAAGGGACTTGCCCAAGGTTACACAGCTAGCAAGGAGCTGAGACTGGATTCAAACTCAGGTCTTCATGACTCTGGTACTACCCAGCTACCTTACTGTCAGAGGAAGACAGTGTGGTGGAGTGGGAGGAGCCCTAGATTTGGCACTCAAGATCCAGGTGCTATGCCTCATTCTGCCCCTTAACCAGGGGGGCTTTGTTCAACTCCTTTTGCCTCAGTGGGGCTGATCCTCCTCATTTGTCAAGAAAACAGGTTGGACTAGAGAAATTCAAAGGCCCATCCTAAATATCTTCAAGTCTTCAAGACTTTTGCTTTCACAATGAGGATCACCAACAAAATTGGATCACTAAGGATCTCAAGAAACATCATGGAAGATGAGTAGTGATTGTCTTGGCCAAAGATGGAGCTGGGTGGGAGTTAAGGGGGCATTTTTGGTAGAGGGAAGAATCATTAAGAGTCAAGGCCACGTCCCAGACCAATTTTCATTCCACGCAGTAGCAGCTAGGATAACACCAGCTTCCTCCCAGCCATAACCCCAGGAAGATTAACAAGCAATCAGAACCAGAAGTTGAGAATCATTGGTTTAGAGATAGATTAGAAGGCTGGAAGTAAAAATGTGTCAATTCTAGCCCTAGGCCAGCTATTGATGTACTGGGTCAAATCAAGACGCACATAAGTGCCCTCTATGTGTCAGACACTGTACTAATTTCTGGGGATACAAAGAAAGACAAAAAAAATGAAGAAACAGTTCCTGCTGTCAAGGATCTCACAGTTTCTGTGTGATCTTGGGCTGGTCACTGAAACTCCCTCTGCCTCAGTTTCTTCATCTGCAAAATGGAGGTGACAATGCCTGTCCTACTTGCTTCCAAAGAAGGTAAAGATAAAGATGAGATCATAAATATATCATAGAATCTCAGCATATCCAAGCCAGAATCAGCTTCCCAAGCAATGTTTACTTATTTCACCACATTGTGAAGAGGTTGTCATCCCTGCAATGACAGAGCTCACTACCTCAACCAAACATGACATCAGTAAAGAGAATTCCCACACTGGGAGTTCTACTACATTGTTGCGATACAATCATATTTGTGGTGCCATTATGTGGAGAATAGCAGTATGGCATAATGGATAAAGAAGTGGCTTTAGCGCCAGGAAGATCTGGTTCATGTCCTACCTTGAACACATTCTTCTTGTTGGATGGTGGTTGCTAAAAGTTCTGCTCACACTGAGCCAGAATCTGCTGCCCTGTGATTTTGACTGTTCAGGGTCTGCTCACAGGAGCAGTGCAGGTCAGACTGGATCTGTCATTTCACAGGTCTAATCTAGGGATCTAGACCAATCAAAACTGGTCTAAGGAACTCCCAGGTGAGGAAACGCCCTTTACCAATACAGCTCAGTACCTTCTCTGCAACTAGTAGTCTGAGAAAACAGCCTAGAGCCCCACTCAAGGTCAAACGAGTAGGATGTGTTCAAGGTAGGACATGAACCAGATCTTTCTGGCATTGAAGCCACTTCTCTATCCATTATGCCATACTGCTATTCTGTACATAATGGCACCACAAATATGTTTGTATCACAACAATGTAGTAGAACTCCCAGTGTGGGAATTCTCTTTACTGATGCTAATCATAACCTGCCAGGAATTTAGCAGATAAATCCTAGGTAGTTGCCTGAGGCACATAGAGGTAAAGGGACTTGTCCAGGGTGGCACAGTTACTGTCAGAGATCAAATTTGAAACAACTTTTCCTGACTGCAAGGGAGGCTTTTGATTTGGTATGCTTTGCAGCCAGGATAAAGCTTCAGAAATTTGAGGTGTCTCACTTAGAAAGGTTTGAGAGCCTCATAAGAAGACCTGGAGCCTAGTTAGCTCTTGCAGTGAATTAAACATCACACACACATGTATACACACACACACACACACACACACACATACACACACACTCACATTTCACAAATACTTTCTGCCAGCCTACCTTTTGTTATCTCTTGCTCAGATCATGTACTGGCTATGGGAGAACCTGCTCTATACCAGGTCATTCCAAGAAGCAAGTTTGAAATGCTTGCTGGGTGCCTGGGTGCCATGCTGAGCCCTGGGTATACAGAGACAAAACAAAAAGCAATCAGCCCACCAGGAAATCCCATTCCTCTAGGTGACATTATAGCATGGATGAAGGAAAGTCTATATATGACAATGTGAAGTGGGGAGGGGAGAAGAGAGGAAGGGAGGGAGAAAAAAGGAGAGAGAGAGAGTGAGAGAGAGAGAGCTGGCAATCAGGCACAAACTAGAGATTGTAAGAGTCTAAAGTGAGGATCGAGAGCATTACTGGCAGAACAGATAATCTGTGGCAATGACTTAGAGACTGGAGATAGAATGTTGAATTCAGGGAATGACAAATAGAAGAGTTTGGCCAGAATGAAGCACATCTGAAAGGGAGGAGCAGACACAAAAAAAAGTCTGCCAAAGTGGTAGGAGTTAGATTGGAAAAATTGGAAATACCAAGCTGAGGGATTTAGTTTATATTTTATGCTAGAGGAAATAGGGAACATCTGAAGGTTCTTGAGCAAGGAAGTGACATGTTCAGACATATTTTGGGCAGTTAAGAAAAGGAAGGACTGGATAGAGACCCAACTGGATGAGCTCCATCGTTCTACTGTATCTGGACCTTTGGCACTGCCTTGGACCCTCCTGTGACAGTAAAGCAGTCGTTTCTGTTTGTTTCATTGCAGCCGCTGCTGACGGCACAGCAGCTAGCCTCTGCCGTGGCCGGGGTAATGCCAGGAGGCACGCCAGCCCTCAACCAGCCGATCCTTATTCCTTTCAACATGGCAGGACAGCTGGGTGGTCAACAAGGACTGGTTCTCACCCTGCCTACCGCCAATCTCACCAACATCCAAGGGCTGGTTGCAGCTGCAGCTGCAGGAGGCATCATGACTTTGCCATTGCAAAATCTCCAAGGTAAACTTCATCTGTCTGTTGGCTTTTCTTATGTGAGCAGGGTTGTCCATTACACGGAACTGCCTTTGTTGAGAATTATCTGAAGGCTCTGGGGCTAGTGTTCCACATGTCAGAGGGAGTTCCCAGATCGCAAACATGGACCTTGCAAACAGAAATTGCTCCTTATTTCTAGGAGAGTAACTCAGCATTGTTTGAGTAACATGATTTGTGCATTAATCTTGGCTACTTGTGTACTAAGGATCAAGTCTCTGAGATCTGAGTCATAACTAAGGTGGGGCAGCCAAGATTTTGCCGCAGGCACCCGAATTTAGAGGGGGCCAAACTGAAGGAGTGCTGACAGCAATTGTATTTCTTCAGCAGCATAGAAACAATAGAGCTTAACACTTAATTAATGAGAAGAATCGAAGTAGGAAGGGACCAGATGGTGGACTGGAGTGAGCTTCTCCTCTACTCCACTGGGACCATGTGACAATCTCCCAGTAGAACTTCATGCCAGGGTCCTGGGCCTCTAACTCCTCAAGTGAGGGCAAGCTTCCTGCCTCTTGTCTCATACACCGATTCTGGTACTTGTCTTGAGCACAAAAATCTAGATGGTGGCTTTTTTCAGCTGTTATGGCTGTCAGAGGCATCCATTGGCAGCTTTCCCTAAGAGTGTGTCTACTTTATACATATGGGAGGGCCTGGGTCCTCATCCCCATGGGGCTTGATTTTGCTCATCTGTGAAGCAGAGGAGAGCGCTTGGAAGTGTGGAGCAAAGGTCTTGGAGCTGTTCAGAACAGTCCTGTTGCCCAGTGTCCCTAGTTGTTATTTCTTCCTTTTTAAGGAAAGGAAATGCCAAGGGATGGGAGCTTGATCTTCTGCTGTGTCAGGGACATAGATCCTTCTTACTTCTTTGCCTTGTTGAATGAAGCTACCATTAGAGATAAGGAGGTAACCTCACTTAGGAAAGAGACCATATGTTATCGAATGTGCCTATATGCTGTGCTTATCATCATGAAACAGCACGTTCGTGGTTCCCCTTTCAACAAAGAGATGCAGGAATTGTGAGAATTGAGTGATCCACAGTGACTCCATCTTGTGACTCAATTCTGGATCTAGTTCAGTTCCCTTTCTATTCAATTATGGGTCTAGTCCAATTTCTGTCTTGTGAGACAGAAATTGAATTTTTTAAACCTAGCCCTGTGTGATTGAGAAGCTGGACCACCTATATCTGCTGCTTAGATACACCTAGCAAAGGACCTAGGTTACAGGTCCAGAAACATAGTCAGATCCAAAGATTGGTGCACGAGGTTTTCTCACAATTATACATCTCAAGCCACCTATATCTGAAACCTGTCTAGGTCAATCAGTTACTGTTTCTTTGTGCCTTTGATTGAATACAGACACTTGATGTGGGGAGTGGGATGCCTCTTTCCTGATTTCAGAGAATAACACCTGTTCACTCTCCCCCATCCCAACTTGGAAAGCCCCTAATTGTTCCTTCAGTTAAAAATCAGATTACCTAATTGTATCCTGGCTTACATCTTAATGAAATTGTTTTCTTTTAACATATAAAAATCTGTAGTCGCCTGTATTTTGAGTCCAGTGTCAAGCTGAGGAGGCCTGTTCCCAATTCGTTATGCAATTAGCATACATCACTTAATAAATCAATATGCTTGGAAGCTTGAACCTTTGTTTCCTTAGTCATTTTAGATCATCACATCACAGAGCACCCTGATTTCTCACTATTGTTGCCATTGAGAGACAGAGACAGGGAAGCAGATAGAGACAGATAGAAAAGGAGAGAGAGAGAGAGAAGAGAGAGAGAGAGAGGATGAGGAGAAGGAGAATGAGGAGAGGAGAGGAGGAAAGTGAAGAAAACAAGCAGAATAAGAATTTTTATGGAATTGGGGAAAGAAGGGTAAGAGTTTTATAAAGTTGTCACCACAGGACACCAGGACAGCCGAACTCGAGGGACAGCAAGTAGCAGCTGCAAGCAGCCTCCCTGAGAATGGCCAAAGCCTCTTTCCCACTCTGAGGTAGTAGATGAAGGCAGCCAGAGGCCCACCCTTGGGTGTTGCCCTAGGCTACCACACACTGTGCTGCTGCTGCTGGTTGCAGTCCACAAAGAAGAGAGAACCTAGGAAACCCTTTTCACAGTGGAGTAGTGAAGTCAGAGGGTGCAGGTGCTCTTGGGTGACTTTCTCCATGTACATGTGTCTGGATTTCCCTTTGTTCTGTGTGTCATTGGGAGAAGTCACATGTGCCAGGTTGTGCTGCTGCGAATGAGGTCTTGGGCTCAGAGAACACAATGATATAGGCAAGTTAAACCTGTGTCACAAAACCATCGACAGCCATGCTCTTAACCTTCTGAACCTTTCCTTCTGTTGTTTGTTCCCTGTGTTTGTTGAGGGACCTTGGTATAAGTCAATATCCAACTTACTCCTTCTAAATGTTTTCAGGGGACACTCTGTGCTCTAGAAAAAGTGGACTACTGTCTGTGGTCCCTCACTTCCCATTGCTTTTCCAGAGCTGTGCCTTTGCTCATCTTTAACCTGGGTCTGAACTGCCTTTCCCATTTACTTCCTGCCCTACTCTCATGCTACCCCCTCCATGAAGAACCCCTGATCCCCTAGTTAACAACGACCTTCCCAAGGAGGAAAGTGCTTTGTTCTCACCTCTTCAGTGTGCTTTGTATAAAATAGTTTCTAAGTCTGTAAGCTAAAGTGCAGTTGCCAATCTATGTGGGAGGAGGCAATCTCTTCACCAGGAGTTCCCTACACTGATGAAATCACAGGTCTGAGACCCACCTAAAGTCATCTGTGTCATTCATAGTTATAACTGGCTCTACATTTTAAAGGATGAGATTCAACCTTGAGGGCTAACCTAAAAATTATTCTCTCTGGATCATTTTGTCACCCCAACTCCCAAAGGTTACTTAAGCTTGTGTATTGCTATGTTTATGTTTATATAAATGCTGATAAAAGGATTTCCAATTTCCATGTAAGCACTCAGGATAACATACATGTTAGATAGATACATTTCAGCCTTTATCTCACCATGCAGAAAATGTGAAAGTCCACAAACAAATATTAAAAAACACACAATAAGGGATTCAGATTGTGAATAATCAATACAATTCTCTTCACTTTCTATTGGGTCCAACATTCTCTATACAATCCCAACCAGGCTCCTAGTGCTACCCTGTAGTCTGGGTTTCCTAGAAGGGAATTTTTTCAGACTTCTAGACTGGCACCACTCTGAAACTCTAGTGATCCCATTACACCCCATACAGGCCCTTCTGATGTGTTGGCCTCCCCTCAGAAGGAAAACACATTTTGGAGCTTCTAAACAAGCAATTTTCCTTCCATTGTACTTGCCCTGTCTAAATAACTCAATAGCAAAGAATAAAGTCTAGGATTATTTTGTTCCCCTGTCTTGTGCCTTTGGTCCCTTATGGGTCCTACAGATGAGGAGAGGAGTCATATGGGCAATTTTCTCTTCCTCATTCACACATACCTGCTGCTATTCTCAGGATCTTTTTGGAGGAAAAGAAGCCTGAGTTTTAGATGAATGTTCTGTTCTCCCAAGAGTTCAAGCCAATCTTGAGAGAATCCCTTGGCATTGACATCTGTCTTCCAGAGGAGCCAAGGGATATGCCCACACCCTTTAAAGGGAGATGCAGTCAAAGACTAATGGCTCTGTAAAGTCACCAATTTGCTTGGGAACTCCCCCAATGCCCCTTCTCATATATCAAAAGTTTCACAAAAGACTTACCCCCCTGGCAAGTTTATCGCATTGATCAGGGAGCTCTATCATATTTGCCTATTAGATAGCAAGCTCTATGAGAGATGACACTATATCTTCTCTATATTTGTATGTTTCCCAGTGCCTAGTCCAGTTCTCTGCTTATAGTAAGCACTTAGTACATGCCTTATGATTTATGTTAAATTCCAATTCACTTTGTGACTTATCAGATTATTCAAAGCCTTGGTTTCCACAGATAGCCCAAAGGAGAACCACTTACCACACATTTAAGTAAATGTTTTTGCATCCATTCAGGGCTTCATCCACACACCTGTTGGTATGGCCTCTTATCTTACCTTGCCTGCATTTTAAATGGTTTTCCTGTTAATGTTTCCAACAATGTCTTTCTCTTACCATTCAATTGTGTCCAGAAACTTGCATTCATAAATCATGGATGTGCAGAATTCAGTAATGCACAAATGTGGTGTGCGATGAAAGCAGCCAGCTTGAGATTAGGAGAAGAATGCAGGAGCTGTCCAAGGTGGAGGCCGACCCCTCCAAGTGAAGAGAGAGGCTTTTTAACATAGGTGGGTGATGAAATCTTAATGAAGAAAGGGACATTATAAAAATGCATCCTTCCATTTGGAGCAGTTGTGCTTATGGGGATCCTGAGAATTATAAATAAACATAAGCTCTCACAACTCCGAGGTCATGAATTCATTCTGCCTTGCTCAGCCTGCCACGGCAGGCAGAGCTGGGAAACGAGCTCACTCTAGTTCTGGCAACTGTGTGGGCTCTTGTTGCCTTGACACACTAATATCACGTTGGTCATTTGGACGTCCCCAGAGGAGTGACCTGTTTAAATGAAGTTTTCCGTGGAGATAAGAATCAACCTGATGTAGGAGAATGAAAACTAGAACTTGCCTTGGAATGGAGCTTTGTGGTTTACAAAGAGCTTTCTTCTCAATGACCCTGGGACATAAGGGCTGCAGATATGGTTATCCCCATATAGGGGATATCCCCATATGAGGAAAACGAGGCTGACAGTGGTGAAGTGATTTGCCCAAGGTCCCAGAGCTAGTAAGCAGTAGAACCACCATTCAGACCTGAAGATGTGGACAGCAAATGCTATCAGAACTCTCTACTCCAGCAAGTTGATAAGAGGCAGTGATTCTAGTTTCTAAGACTTTGCTAATTTATGAGTGTTGTGGCAACATAGGTAGAGTTCAGGACTTGGAGGCAGGAATGCTTGATGCTTGCTAACGGTGTGATCT